GCCTTGCAGCAGCAATTAGGGTTTCTCTAAGCACCTTTCAGCAGGTGCCTACAGGAAAGGGGCACCTGGCCACAGCACCCATCAAGTCTATCCTCCGGGCCTCAGACTCTAGCTGCTGGAACTGTAGTCCGTTTCCTCGGTGGGGACCAGATTGGGTGGGGTATAGACACCACCTAAGGATTACAGGAGGAATGGTAGGCGTCTCTGCTCAAGCCTAAGCCCGGTAAGAAGCTGAAACACCCACAAAAGCGGGGGAGGGGCATGACACACAGGGCTGAAGCCATTCTCAGGGAGAGGTCTTGACCTCCTCCCCTGGCCTCTCCCTTTTCAAATAATAGCGCCTGTCTGGGACGCGGGAAATCTGCTAGACTCTGGGGGCGGCTGGCCTTGGCCCAAGAGAGTCCCGGAGGGCTGCTTGGACATTTAGGGCCACGGAAGACCGGCCCTCCCGTCAGCTGTGACGCCACAGGATTCCGCCCCAGCGGGGGACACTCGAGATCTGCAGGGCCGTCGGGCGACCCCCGCCCGGGCGAGGCGCGTCTGGGAGGAAAGTTTCCTCCGCGCCCTCCCCCCTTCACTCCTCGGGGCGCGCCGGACGGGGGCGGAGGCAGGGCGAGGCCCCTCCCCACGCCGGGCACCGGCGCGGCGCGGTGCGGGGAGGGGGCGCGCGCTCGGTCCCGCCCCGGCCCCCACCTGCCCCGCCCCGCCCCTACCAGACGGAGCCGTAGGCGCCGGAGCCCACCGGGCGCAGACCCTGCAGCCGCTGCGGCACCTCCCACACGGTCTTGTTCAGCTCCTGCCGGTAGAAACCGGCGCGCGGGCCCGACATGTCCGGAGCCGAGGCTGGCGCGGGCGCAACCCAGCGCCCAGCCCGCGCCCAGCCCGCGCCGCGCCGCGCCGAGCGGGGGGCGGCGGCGGGGCGGGGCCAGGGCCGGGGCGGAGCCCGGCGGATTTCCCGGGCCGGGGGTTCCCGGAGGCCACGCGCCGCTTCCTGCCCCTCGGGGACAGTCACCCAGCGGAAGCCTGCCCTCCCCGGGGCGGCGAGGAGCCCGCCTGTCGCCCCCGCGTCCGCCGCCCAGGCCGCGTACTGCCCTCGTTCTCACCGCAGCCTGGCCGCCGCCCCTCCCGCAGCCCGCGCAGCCTCCATCTCAGCCTCTGCCTCAGAAATGAGGGAGCCTCACGGCGAGGCCTGGGCGGGTCCCGGGAAACGTTTTCACCAAGAAGAAAACACGGCCCGTAAAAGCAGAACGGCCACAGCGAGGCGCGCCAGAAACTCCCGCACCAGCCTTCCTTGGCCAGGCCCCTCTGCTGGGTCCTGGGCAGTGGAGGACGCCTGGCCCTGGCGACGGCCGTTGGCCTCCTGGAACACCTGCCTGAGTCTGACCCCGGCCTCCCCCGGGAAGCCTCTCCGCCGGGCTCGCCCCTGACCTTGGCCCCACCGCCTCCCGGGAGGGGTGAGTCCACGGGCCAGGCCAGTCAGCACCAGGGACAGCGGCGGCACCAGGGGTCCTCTGGGGTGTGGTGGCCACCAGGAACGGTCCTCCAGTGGGTCTTGTTTGGTGCCGGGAACCTGGCCCGCGCCTGAAACGGCCTCAGCTCTCCCGGGAAGCCCGCACAGACTAGGGGGCCGCCCCTCGGGCAGAGTGACCAAGCGAGCGCCCAGCAGAGGCAGCCAGGGCTCTAAAGCACGGCCAGAGGGTGGCTTTTATGACCCGTGGGGATGCTCTCCACGGTCCAGCAAGGCCTCGTGGGAGTGTTAGCCCAGGACTACTTTTCTTACGACCTAAAAATGACCAGGAATGGGAGGAGCATTGCCCCTGGAAGAAAGGGCTCCTGACCCTAGGCCGTCGGGGAGCAGCGGGCGTCCAGGAGAGGAGGGGAGCTGTGTGGCTGGGCCGCCCCCTCCCAAGAAACCAGGAAATCATACTCTGAGTTGCCCAAATTTATAGTTTAAAAACAAATTTCAATAGGGCTGGGGCTGTAGCTCAGTAGCGAGCGCTTCTCTAGCATGCTTGAGGCACTGGCTTTGATCCTCAGCACCACGTAAAAAATAAATAAAATAAAGGCATTCTTTTCATCTACAACTACAAAAAATTGGAAAAATAATGAAAATAAAAATAAAATGTTTTAATGTAAAATCCGATTTTTAAATAAGAATTAGGACTGGAGTGTAGCTCAGCAGTAAAACATTTGCCCAGCATGCATAAGGCCCTGAATTCGATACCCATTGCCGCAAAAAATAAAAAAATAATTTACTAAATAAACAATTGGCGCTGGTCGCGGTGGCTCACCCCTGCAATCCCAGCAGTTTGGGAGGCTGAGACAGGAAGATCGCAAGTTGGACGCCAGCCTCAGCAATTTAGCAAGGCCCTATGCAACTTAGTGAGACCCTGTCTCAAAATTAAAAAGCAGCGGGGATGTAGCTCAGTGTGTAAGTGCCTCTGGATTCAAATCCCGGTACCAAAAATAAATAAATGGAACCCATGAAAACAAGTGCACGCAGTAACAAGCCAAACAGGCGTATCTGCCCCAGATCCGCACTGTGGGGCAGCGCAAGTAGAAGGAAGCCTCAGTGTGCCCTGCGCCAAACCGAGCCCCCGGCACCAGGAGAAGAGCTGGTGTCAGTTCTGGAGCCTCCTGGCCCGCCCTGCCCCAGCTGGGGGTCCTAGCAGCCCTCTCTCCGGGGCGGGCCGAGGTTTTGTGCGGAGTAAAAGAGCTTCAGCTGAAGACCGTGGAGGGGAGGCGGAGCCGAGCCCGGGCAGTGGGGACCACAGCCGCGGGGAAGGGAGCCGCCTTTGTCTGAGTCTCGCCGCGGAGGGGTGGGGATGCATTCCCAGGACGGGGAGGACTGAAGGGATGGGGAGACGACTGCACGCCAGGGAAGCCCCCTGCGTCCTCCCGGAACCCCTCCCTAAGTCCTAGAGGCAGAACTGAGCAGGGAGCCACCTCCCTGCGGGCCAGGTGCCCCCACCTTCTCCATGGTGTGCTGCGGGGTGGGGGGGATTCTCATCCCTTGGCAAACTTGCCGGGATCCCCCACTGTGCCTGCCAGCTAGTCGCCCAGTGCCTTCTGGGGGAAAGGACCGCTGGAGTTTCAGGTGGTGGGTGCTGGAGGCCCCCCGAAGGAGAGACCCCCTCAGATCCTGGCAGAGGTCAGGGAAGGCCCCTGGAGGGGTGACAACAGTAGCAGGCTGGGCCAAGCCTCCAGTCAGCCCTGAGGTGAGAACAGGACAGAGGCCACACTTGGTATATCCAGGAAAGAAGGCAGAGTCCAGAAGGTGGGTCCAGAGGGGGAACAGCTCTTACTGTGCCCTTGGGGGTGGCCTACCCAGGTGTCAGTCAACCTGCTGACAGGGCACTTCATGAAGACAGACTCAGCCCCCTGAAACCTGACCCCTTGCCTCATTTAAATAACTTCTCCTCAATAAAAGGGGTCAGCGCCTGCTCTCGCTCTCTTTATGCAGACCCTTAAGGTCAGAGGAGCTGTCACAGCGACCCCAAAGATAAAGGTATTTGTGTCTCTTGTGTGGTTATTTTGCGCAGCCCAGTTAGCCCAGTTAAACTGGAGTGACCCCTGAGCCTTTTAGTCGTGAGAGGAGAAACCCGGCACCCCTCCTTTTTCTCCACGTCTACTTCCCCTGCTGGTCCAGGACCCCTTCACTGTCAGCTGTGACAGCTTGATGGTCAGTTTGCCCCTCAGCTCTCCTGGGTGGGCTTCTGCCTGTGGTCAGGACGAATTTCCTAAAGACAAACCTGGCATGAGAGGCTGATTTCAGGGACAACTCAGTTAAGGTCATTAAGGTGACCCATGACCTCTTCCCCATACCCACCTCTCCCCCTCCCCCTTCCCACTACACGGGGAGGAAAATGGGAAAGGGACGCTACGACAGGTCACCCCTGGATCCGTTGGCATTCTGCCCACTCAAGTCTGGCCTACCCACCCCCACGAGCCCCCAAACCCACGCCTCTCTGGCCCCACCTAAGGACAGGCCCTGAATCTCTTCGTACAACCTACCTATCCTCCAAGGGGTGGTTCCACCTAGAGCTGCACCCCACCTAGAGTCTCACCATCCAGTAGCAAGGAGCAAAGGCAGCTGGGCAGGGCCCAGATTGGAGGCTAGGCCTCCAGGTTCCTGGGCCTCTCCCTGGACACCYCCAGACCACACCTTGTTCACCCCTGTTCTCAGCAGCATCTTGTTCCGATTTCCCTAATCAGCCAGGTCTCTGGGAAGCAGAGAGCCCGATTTTGGACCCTAGAAGTGTCATTTCAGGGGGCCCAGGGTCGGGATGTCAGTTCTTGGCCTTGTACCTTTCCTTGGGGGTTGACAGCTGCCCTTGCTCCATGTGGCTCTAATGGAGTCACCCAGATGCAGAGGGGTTTATGATCAATGGTGGCTCTCCATCAAGACTGCCCAGCCATGAGGACGTGCTCCAACTGGGGGGACACAGGGCCAGTGCTGCCCAGGGACAGACCAGCCCATGCTGAGGGGCAGTTCAGACAGATGGAACTCAAAAGATCCAGCCAGAAGGAAGCTGGGCCACTTTGCTTCCTGTGGGGGTGTTCTGGGAGCAGGAGGAAGCTCCCCAAGGGCAGACCTGTCCTGCCTGCTGCTGGGTCCCAGGGTCTAGGACTGTGCCAGGCACAGAGTGGACCTCAGTAACAGTGTGTGGAAGGAACAAGCCCAGGCCTCACAGGAGCCGTGTGCACACAACTTAACCAGCCTCCATCACACCTGCACTTGAGCACAGGTGAGAACGAGCCTCACATCCCACTGGCCACCCTCTGTGCCGTTCATGGCAGCCCAGCCCCAGATGAAGAGGCAGAGGCAGACAGCAAGGTGACCAGACAGTGCCGGGGCTGCTCCCATCCCTGTGTCCAGCAGGGCAGCCCTGGGGCCCGAGGTGGCCCCTGTGCACAGGGAGAACCCGTGAGCAGTGCAGGCCCAGGGATGAGAGCAGTGAGGAGGGCAGTCCCAGGAGGAGCCCAGCAGACCAGCAGAGTGAGAAAGACAACTGTATTTGATTTACAATTAACAAGATTTACAAAAAGGGGTGGGTGGTCCTGGTGGAGCTGTTCCCTGACCCTCCAGATGGGGGTGGGCCTGCAGGGAGCCTGTCTGACAGGCCAAGACCGGGACCCCCAGTCTGCTGAGTCCCCTCTGGCCACCCGAGCCCCGACGTCTGACGTCCAGTTGACCTTTGAGGTGGGGCCCAGGGGCCCTCAAGTCCACCTGGAGTTCCTGTGCCCCGTTGGGAAGGCCAGGTGAGGTCAGGGGGCATTGTACCGCTTTTTCTCCTCCTTCCATCTGGCTGACAGACAGACACGCAGTCCAAGAACTGGCCCTGGGGACTGCAGGCACTCAGATCCCACCGGAGGCCAAACCCAGGGCATCTGAGAAGGCTGCTGGTGCACTGGGAGGGAGGCTGGGGCCCYGCTGCCCCAGTGGCCAAGCAGCTTGGTAAGGCACGTTTGCGAACTGCTCCCCGTGGAGAGCACCCGATGCTGGTGCGTGCAGGAGTTGGTGCTGGCCAGAGCGCCCAGCAGTATTGCTCAAGAGGTCGACACAGTATAGCAGGAGTGGGCCCGCCACCCTCCCCCCCCAGGTGCCGGGGTACATCCTCTGCTAGGGAGAAGGAGAGTCAGCCACTGCTAGCTGGGCCTCAAGCCACAGGGCCACTCAGCACCAGGCATGGGCACCTTGCACTGTGCCCCGGCTGCACTGATGGTCTGAGGTCAGAGATCGGTGACTTTGTTCTCAAGAGCAGCGGCGATTTGCTGCAGGCGGAAGGCCAGCTGCATTTTCTGGGCAGCGGGGTCCTCTTCCAGGGCATTGATGATCTGGGCAGGTGGGGAGAAGGGTGCTGCATGAAGATCACAGTCTAGGGAGGAGTGTCCCATGTGTCCCACCCCAGGGACCAGACCCTACCTCGTCATAGTACTTCTGTGTGTACTGGTAGAGCTGGTGCAGTGCCACAAGGGTGTTCAGGGAGTCTGTGTGTGCCTGGGGATGAGAGTGTCACCTAGTGAGCCCCAGGGTAGGCAGACTGTGTGGCACCCCAGAGGGAGACAGGGAGGCCAGCCCATGAAACGTCAGACTGCGCTGTGGTGGCTGTGTGGTAGTGTGTGCATGTGAGTGCATGCGTGCACACACACACACACACACACACACACACACACRCGCGCGCGCGCGCGCGTGCGCGCGCGAGCAACCTCTCCTGCTCCAATGAGGAGCTCAGCCAGTCAGCGAGGCAGGCACAGCGCGTGGGGCAGGCTTCGCAGGCTCACTCCGCACATACCAGCAGCAATGCCCAGGGGTGCGGTGCTTACCCACTCCAGGGCAGTCACACCAGGTCCAAGCAGCCTGACCAGCAAGCCCTCCCAGTCCCGCCCTCTTGCCATAACCTCACCCCTGGCTCMGCCTGGGGCAGCCGGAGGGTAGGCTCCACTCTGCCAGGCCTGTTACCGCTCACCCGGGAAATCTCTGCCAAGTGTGTGTTCATGTCCTGGTCGCTGACTTGTACCATCTGCCGGATCCCCTTGTAGTAACTGCAGGGAGGGTTGTAGGAGTCTGAGGCTGGGCCTCGGAGCCTCTCAGGGACCCACAGCAAGCCCACGCCCTCCTCCCGACCACAGGGGATCCAGGGCAAGGCAGCACTCACTCCTCCACCATCTTCTTGTAGGTGGAGATCTCCTTGGCATACAGCAGCTTGTTGCTGGGCGAGTCCTATGGGATGAAGCCCTGTCATACCAGCTCAGGATCCCCACCAAGAGGAACAGTGTCAGCCCTCCCCAGACTCCTGAAGCTTTCATTAAAAAAAAAAAAAAAATCATTTTTGTGGCACATGCCTGTAATCCCAGCTACTTGGGAGGCTGAAGCAAGAAAATTGCAAGTTCAAGGCCATCTGAGGCAACTTAGTGACACCCTGTCTTAAAATAAATCAAAAAGGGCCGGGTGTGATGGCCTACATCTGTAATCCCAGCAATGTGGGAGGCTGAAGCAGGAGGATCACAAGTTTTAAACTAGTCTTGGCAATTTAGCAAGACCCTGTCTCAAAATAAAAAATTTAAAGGGTCGGGGTGTGGCTCAGTGGTTAAGCACCCCTGAGTTTAGTCCCCAGTACAAAAACAAAACGAAACGAAACCACAGAGGTCTGGGTGGTAGGCTGCTTGCCTAGCATGCACAAGGTTCCATCCCCAATGCTACAAAAAAAAGGGGGTAAAAATAAATAACTAAAACTGTATTTTTGTACTTTGTAGCAAAACTATTTCTGCTTATGCAAGGAGCGGGAGCTCCGGGCTGGGGAGTATGGCTCAGGTGGTAGAGAGCTTGCCTCCCATGCACGAGGCCCTGGGTTCAATCCCTAGGACCACAAAAAAAGGAGGGGGGCTAGAGAGAGGAGGCCCTCTAGGGAGAGAAGGGGGGGAGATCCCAAGGAAGAGAGTGGGGACCCCAGGAAGAGGACAGCGAGGGTCCCTGCAAGAAGGGAGCAAAACATCCCAGGGATCTTTTCAGAGCAGCCCCATGGTTCTGGCCACCTTCTTCCTGGCTTTGTCCTAAGCTTTGACCCCAAAATGTGCAAATCCACACCGGACTGCTTTTGGTACCTCCCAAACTCACTCCCATCTCAGTCACTCACCACGGTTCCCCAGGTCACCCTGCACAGACCCTGTCCAGCAGGTCTTCCTGGGGAGCTGAGGCAGCTCCTCCCCAACGCGACCCCCCGCAGCACTCACGCGGCTCAGCTTGTGCTCCGTGCGCGTGCAGGCGTCCATGAAGGTCTGTGCGATGACCGACAGGGAGGCGTCCACCACCTCGTGGACATGCACGTCAAAGATGAAGTGCGGGTTCTTGAGGATGTTCACCCAGAACCGCAGCGGTAAACTGTGGCACCGAGACAGGGAGTGAGAGGCTGCAGAGCGCGGGCGGGGGGCGCGGAGCGTGGGGTGCGGGGCGCGGGGCGCGGGGGGCGGAGCCGCTGCGGCCTCACCTGTTGGTCTTCCAGATGTGAATGGTGTCCTCATCCTTGATGTCATGCTTCTCTGCCTGCTCGTCCAGGAAGTCGAAGAAGTACTTGACGGCCGGTGGCACCGCGTGACCAGGGGCCAGCACGCTCTGGAAGAAGTTGTCCACGAACTGYTGCAGTGTTCCCTGGAGGGAGGGGCTCAGCGTGACCCTCGAGTGGCAGTGCTAGGGTGCATGTGCACATGCGCAACTTGCCCACCTCCCACCTTGACAGAGAGCAGCCGCGTCAGGTAGATCTCGGTGATGGCCTTGGTTCGCTCTTTCTCCTTCATGCTGCCTCGCTTGGACTTGCCCTCATCCACCTCGTCTGTTGGCCGCACAAGGTGCCACACCCGGTTCTCCTCCTCCAGGAGGGCATGGCCTGTAAGGAGTGGGGAGCTGAGGACTGACCCGTCCCCTGTGCACCTAGCAGCTCCCCAGGTGGCCACACAGGGAGGACAGGGGACATGGGGTGGGCAGGAGGCACACACTCACGTTCCCCAGGTAGGTCTTGCTGGCTGTCCTCTGGCTGCTGGGAGACCCCCACCTTAGACAGGATGAGGGTGGCTCCATCCCGAACCTGAGGACAGAGTCCTGAGGGTGGGCCGCGAGTCCCTGGCACTGGGGACCCCAGCCCACCCCACTGCCTGGGCTCGGCTCGCGGCCCAAACTCACGTTGTAGTGCATCAGGGTGTTGATGCGTTTCCACCGGCCATCCCGCTGGGAGGTCAGGTCCAGGTCAGACAAGATCTGGGCTGTAGACCCAGGGCGCCACTCTGTGGGGGGACATGGTCCAGCTGACTGCCTACCCCCAACTCAGAAGCCCCCAGCAAGATCCCTTCTGGGGACACAGAGCAAGCCCAGGGCTTTGAGCCCTTGGCCCCATGGTGCTCACCCAGGACCACACTGTCTGGCTTGGGCCAGCAGGAGCAGGGCTGTGTGCGGTACACCTGGTCGATGATCTTCTCCTTGACCTGAGAGATGGTGTCGCAGTTGAGGACCTTGACCGGGACAGCATCTACCCCTTCATCCTGCACAATCACGCTCACCGTCTGCAGAGGGACGCAGGATAAAGAGAGGGTGGGGATGAGACCCTCTCACCACCTCTGCCTGGGGCACCTAGGAGGACTCCGCTTTGCCCTTCCCCTGGCTTTGCAGGCAGTCCAGGTTTAGCTCAGGGGCGGCCCACTCTCACCTGCCACTCGACCTCACAGGAGTTCATGCACCCACTTACCATCCCATGTGCCCTGTTGTGGGCTGGGGTGCTGAAGCACCTGGCCTGGGGTCAGGACATGCCCACGCCACCAAACACAGTCCTCCTGAGCATGACATGCATCGGCCACCTGGCACACGCCCAGCACAGACAATGTGCCACATGGATGCAGACCCAGGGAAGGCTGTGGTCTTGGTACTGGCCTGGGAACCCCTGACCCCCCCTGGCCCTTGAGGCTCCTGTTGGCAGCAGGGTGGGGTCCATACTCCTTTGCCCAGCCTCCAAGGGTCCCCGCAGCCCGCTGGCCCCGGGTGGCTCACCAGGGGCGCATACTCCACGTCGTCCCCGAGCAGCCCGGTGTCATTGAGGGTGTACTTGGCCTTCTTCTGCACGGCGTCCACTGGCCCCTTTTCCACCTGATGTTTGATGGCCTTGAAGAGCTTATACAGGGGCTCACCAGCGCTGTCCTGGAGTAAGACAGGTGGCTGTATGAGCAGGAGGGGTGGGACTGACCACGGCTGCTGGGCACCTAGAGGGATGGCACCACTCCACTCCACTTCCATTCCTGGGGACCCACCTTGAGGTACTGGTACAGGCAGATGGACATCCAGTTGGACAGCATCCTCTCTACCACTGTCTCAGACCTGAGGATGCAGAGTATGCTGGCACCCCCAAGGCCCAGATGGCTTTTCCAGCCCCGCCAACTCTCACACCAGCCTGGCCTCCCCATTCAGGCCCCGAGTCCCCAACAACACAGGCCTGTGGGCAACACAGGCCACCCAGCCGCCATCCTCACTGCCCGGACCTGAGGCTGAGACAGGAGCAGCAGCATGAACACAGGGCAGCAAGGGGTTGAGGCTAGCTGTGTCTGTCACCTGGGCCACCCTCCACGGCCCAGCCCCCCGCTCACACCCACACACCTGCGCAACATCAGCTTGGGGTTCTTGGCCACCACGTACTGCTCCATGAGCTCCAGGAAGAGCGTGCGCATGATGTCGGTGTAGTACTCCAGCTTCCCATGCAGGGCCACCGTCAGCAGGGATGCAAAGTAGACCTTGGCACGGGCGGAGAACTCACGCTGGCTCTCCAGGGTGTGGATGAACTGTGGGGCAGCCGTCAGAGCCCACTTGGCACCTCTGTCTGGCACCCGGTCCCCCCCAGCCCTCCGTCCACCCCGGCCCAATCCTGCTCACGTTGATGAGGAAGGACTTGCTGTTGAGCAGGTTGGAGAACTGGTACAGGGCCTGCTCCACCACAGGCCGCCGMGACTCAGGGATGTCCAGCTTGCCCGTGATCATGACGTCCTTGTCGCCGTCCTTGGAGGGCAGGAAGAAGACGCGGTCTGTGTAGGTCTTGTAGTCCAGCGTGGGGATGCCCGCCTCATGCACGTCATTCGTCTGGTCCTCCATTTCGATCATCAGGTCTGGGGGACAGGAGGGTGGCGTGAGGCAGGCCTGGCCACACAGCCCTGGCCCTGCGCGCCGGCTGCCCACCCCGAGAGGCAGCGCACCTGTGAACTCCTTCTTGCAGCGGTCCCGCACACTCTCCTCCAGACCCTCCAGCTGGGATTTGATCTTCTCGTACTCCCGCTCAGCCTGCTGGCTCTTCCTCCTGCAGGGCACAGAGGGTCCTCGGCCACTTAGGTGCCTGTGACCTCCTCCGGAGGCTGTGTGTGGAACATGGGGGTGCTACCGTCTGCCCAGGGGCTTACCAGTAGCAGTAGACAGACACGGCAATGACCACCACCATGGGCACAATGACCAGCGGCAGGATGAGGCTGAGTGGCACATCACTCACACGTGTGTCGTACTCCACCCGGCCCAGCACCCACTCGCGGGAGCCGAACTTCACCTGTGAGGGAGGCAGGCTCAGTGCGGGAAGGCGAGGCCTCCGTGGTCGCCCTGGACCAGCCCAGGGAGGCACCCTCTGGACCTCCCAGCCTCACGCACAATGAACTCGGGCAGGTTGTGTGTGGTGTCCCGCTTCTGCCGCCGCTTGGGCGGGGGCTGAACCTCTGGGGGCTCGCAGTACAGGTCCGTCTCAGTGAGGGTCTTCATGATGCAGCGCTCAGCACCCACAAAAGCTTCGGCCTCCTGCAGCGTCATCGCCTTGTTCAGGTTGGTGCCCTGAGAGGGCAGCAGAGGTCAGCGTGGCCAGAGGGAGCACTCAACCCAGACCCTACCCCAGGGCCCCAGGGCCGTGCCATCGTCACCTGGGCATGGATGAGCTTGTTGACCTGCTTCTTGACGCCACCCGTGAAGTTCTCAAAGGTGGGGTCTGCCACATACTCGAAGGCACTGGCCTCGGTCCTGAGCAGGGCACGGTGCCCATCCATCTGTATCAGTGCTGTGAGGTTGTAGGCCTCCGGCTCCTCGGGGACAGCCGGGGACAAGAAGACGACTCTGGTGTCGTTGTAGAACACATACTCAGTGCCTGTGACCTGTAGAAAAGGGCCAGGCCATCAGGCCACTAGATGCAGACCTGCCCCTCACAGGCACATCCCCATTAGTCAACCCGGGCAACGAGCCCCTGACCACACCAGGACTGACCATCGTGGGCTGTAGGGGTCCAGCCTCCCGCCGACGCCGCCAGGACTGTAGGGGCTCAGCAATGACCACCATGGCAAACTTCTGGATGAGGCTGAAGCCCTGACCAGTGACAGTGATACTCCGGCCACCACTAGGGGACGGGAGTGGTGCCTTCAGCAGGGGGCGCCTGGCAGCCGGGGTGGGTGCCCTGCAGGCTACCCCACCCCCTCCCATGTGTCCCCACCACAGGTTGGCATGGGCACAGATCAGGGGAGGCATGCAGCCGTGTCACAGGCAGGGCAGGGGCACTCGGGGCCGGAGAGCACCGTGCCCGAGCGTGCCTAGGAGGAAGCCCATCTGGGTGCAGTGGGGTTTTCCAGGACTCCTGCTGCCCAGCCCTGCCCCACCCTGCCCCGCCCTGCCGCATTCCTTTGAGCTAGGTCAGTAGAGGGCACCCAGGAGGTAGCTGGACACTATACTGGTGGGGGAAAGGAGGGGCACTGGCCAGTGTGGGGAAGGGCTGCACCTGACAAAGCTTCGAAGCGGCTCAAAGGCCCGTAGCACTGGGTTCTCCCGGAAGGTGAAGGAGACTCCAGGGCTGGACACGCGGGAGCCCCCGTAGGAGATCTCCAGGGCCACCTCTCCCAGAGTGGACTGGGGTCCTGTGACGCACTGCAGCTGTACCCCAAACTTGGTCCTGGTGTGGGAGGTGCCAGTCAGCGTCAGCCAGCCCTGGGTCAGCACACTGGGCTGGTTCCACTGCGCACTCCAGGGCAGACTCATGGTCATGGTGGGAATACCCCTATCCTGTCCCCAGGGCCAGGGCCAACCAGACTGGGCAGCTGTGGCAACACCCACACTTCACAAGGGACGCCACTGAGGGTCACCCGCACGTCCTCCTTAGAGCCTGTGTCCAGGTGGGTGCCACTGATGGTCAGCGTGGTCCCGCCTGCTTGTGGCCCCTGCCTTGGTTCCACACTCAGGGGCTGGGGCTCCTGAAAGAGTGACAGGCGGGTGGGGTTAGTGCCGGGGCCTGGGGACGCAGCGCCCAGGCTTGGACCTCCACCACACAGTAACTGTTGCTAGACTGCAGGACGGAGCCCGGGTTCAGCAGCCCCCAACCTTCCCAGCTAGTAAATGGAGTCCAGCACTCAGAGGCCCAGGTGCTTACTTGGTAGGTAAATTGGACACTGGGTGGTGAGTGGCCAAGCTTCCCGTTGACATCCACCTCGATGCCCCCGGTGGAGGACATCTCTGCCGCCTCGGTCACGCACACGATCCTGGCGGAACAGAACCCACGGGCTCCTACACACCTGTGAGTGCGTCCCACCTGCTCTGGGTCCCTCACGGTCCTCAGGTCTCCCCCTGCCCAGCCACGGGTCCCGGGGCCCCAGTCTGAGGGCCACCCACTTACCGGGTGGACACAGAATAACGTTCTGGCTCAAAGGCACAGTTCTGTCCAGCCACAGTGATCCTCTTGACATCATCTGCTTTGATGCCCAAATTGGACCCGAGGACGGTGACGCGGATGCCCCCACCCAGGGGACCGGTCTCAGGCTGGATCTGAAATTGGCAGAGCACAGTGACCTGGTGGCTCTGGCAGGCTGGGGATGTGAGGACAGGGCCCAGGCCAGGCTGGAACAAAACTCACCCTAGTGATTACTGGTGGCGGGCACTCAGACGTGGCATTGCTGCACAGAGCCCCGTACACACACCGGCTCTGCCCACGGCACCACACGCACCTGTAGGCAGGGTCAGCAGCCAGGCACAGGCTGCAGTCACTGCGGCCAAAGGAGCAGTTGTAGAGGGTCACTGTGGAGGAAAGTGCAGTGGTCAGCTGGACCACCTGACTGCCCACTCCCACCCTCGCCTGGCCCCACTCACCTTGGAGCTTGCTGTCAATGTTCTTGCCGTAGGACTTGACGTACAGGTGTAGGGACAGAGTCTCATTGGCATCGTGGGATAGCTGAGGGGACACATGGGAAGACACTGCACTTTCTGGCCCCATGGGTCACCAGGGTGATCACACCATAGCCACATGGTCCCCTCACTGCTGAGGCCAGAAGTAGGAGGACCTCAGACACAGAGTGCACACGCGCGCACGCACACACATGCACACATGCACACACACACACACACACACACGCACACACACACAGTGTGCTGGGTGTACCCGGGAGGGCAAAGGGATGTGTCCTCTGGTGGCAAGGAGGTGGACACATGCTACAGGGTGGGGTGGCGAGCCCCTGGCCAGGTCCAGGCCCCTCCCCTCACCATCCTGGACGGAAGGCCTCCCAGGGACCCTCCCCTCAGGGCGCCGGGCCTACCTGTTCTGGAACCATACCTTTGGGGTCCGAAAGAAGAAGGTCCCCGGCTCCTGCACAGTCACTGGCTCCTCGAACTTGAGCAGGTCGCTGCCCACATACAGGGAGGACCCCTGCAGAGAGTCCAGTCAGGATGCTCTGGACCAGCCAGCCCATCTGCCCTGGCCTTCCTCCTGGGAGCCCCCAAGCCTCAGTGCTCCTGGGGTTGGTGATCAATCCTCTCCCAACAGGACCCACGGGGCCCCGAGACGACTCAGGTCCCACCCATGTGGGCAGAAGCCTCTGAACACCCCTGTGATTACCAGGAGCCCTAGCTCCAGGGGGGACGCAAGCCCCCCGACGCCCCACCTGCCTGGCCCAGGTCTCCCCACCTTGACTGTGTCCAGATTCTGGCCCTGGAAAATCACATCTGTCTCGTGGTTCATAGGGATGACCAGAGGGCTGGGGTTCAGGAACTGTGGGCAGTTGTCCTCCTACAAGAGAATAATGCTGGTCAGGTGCTGCCCAGCCACAGCCAAGCAGCCAGGCCCCCACAGCCCCAGGGCCCTCACCATGTGGGCGCGAATGATGCCCTCCTCAGGGTTGGGCGAGGCCTCCCGACACTCGTGGTACCTTAGGTCCCACTGGCAGGTCCAGCGGTTGCTGGCGCAGGAAATGCACCTGCGGAGAGGGGCAGGAAGGCCGTGAGAGGMGTCCAGGTCTGGGGGMGGCGCTCTACGGGCCACAGAAGGCCATGAGAGGCGTCCAGGTCTGGGGGCGGCGCTCTACGGGCCACAGAAGGCCATGAGAGGCGTCCAGGTCTGGGGGCGGCGCTCTACGGGCCACAGAAGGCCATGAGAGGCGTCCAGGTCTGGGGGCGGCGCTCTACGGGCCACAGAAGGCCATGAGAGGCGTCCAGGTCTGGGGCGGTGCTCTCGGGGCAGCAGACTCACGGCAGGTTCTCCACGAGCCTCATGGCCTCTCGGCAGTCGTAGAAGGGGTACTGGTGGGAGGTGAGGAAGACATCGTCTCGTCTGAAGAGGAGCTGGATGCTCACAGCCACATGGTCTGTAGACAGCAGGGGGGGACCGTGTCAGGGGAGGCCACAGACTGGAGGGGCTAGGGGCAGGAGATGGGAAGGACCTGGAGTCGGGTCTCCCCTGTCAGAGCCAGGAACACAGGGCATAGCTAGGCCTTCCACCTGCCGTCAGACCTCAGTCAGGTCAGCTCCCAGGCCGGAGCTCGAATTTCTCCCCTGGGCCTGGCTGCCCCCTCTCGMGGAGGGCAGTGGCTCCTGGGAGTCTGGGCGGGAGGGGTCTGCCAGGTCCCTACCCACGTCACTGCCCCCCAAACTCAAAGGACAGGGGCACAGTGTCCTGCCTGGCCTACTGATGAGTTCCCTTGCCTTTTGGGACAGAACTGCCTATCTCAGGCTGTCCCGGGCTGGGAGTGGACAGGGTCATCTGCAGAGACCTGGGTGCCTGGAACCTGGCCCAGGTGCTACTGGTAAGGGGAGCCTTCCTGGCTCCTCTTGCTCTGGGGAGAAACCAGGCTGGCGTGCTCCTGCTTAGGGTGGGGCCCACTGCAGACAGCAAGGGTACCTGGGGCCACCTGCTCAGGGGCTGTCCTGCCAGCCCTCAGGCAGGGCCGTCTGCACCCCACCTCCCAGCACCATCCTACCCCAGGCTCTGGACTTGCACCCAGGAAGCCTGCCCAGCACGGGCTCCCGTGAGCTCAATGATGGAAGTGAGTGGACCAGAGCACAGCATGCACAGGGGAGGAGATCTGCTCCCAGGAGCTGTGGCGGGGCCTCACCCTGACCAGTTGGTGTGCTGGGGATGCTGCTTGGGGAGTTGCAGATGACGGCGTTGCCCTCCACACGGGCAGGGTGTGGTGGTGATTCACCAAAGAGACACAGCACTTCATCCTTCTCGGTCAGGGCTGGGAGAGGGCTGACGGTCAGCTGCACCTGAAGGGACAGTAGCTCACACCAGGGCCCTCACCCCCCAGCACTGGGTTCTGCCTGCCCATCCTCTGGCAGCTCCCAGGTGGGGCCTGGGTCTGCTCTGGGTACACAGGCTCTCGCCCTACCCAGCCCCAAAGGATMCCCTGACTGTTCCACAGTTCTCGGCCCGTCCTCTGCCACGCACCTCCCCCTGCGCCCGGCGGCTCATGTTCTGAGGCTGGGCATCAGTGACGGTTACACAGGACTTGTTCCGGCTCCACAGCCAGTGGTTGGTCTCCTCAGCCCGCGGGCATTCAGCCCTTCTGGTGCATCTGTGAGGACAAGGGGTGGCTTCAGCCCTAGTACCCTCGGGCCCCCATGTAGCTCTTGTCCTGGCCAGGACAGGGCTGTCCCCAGCTCACAGCCCTCCAGGGCAAGGCCAAGGTGCTCACCGTCCCTCGACAACACACCAGCCACAGTAGGGGTCCTGGGAGTCACGGCACTGTGCGCAGGTTGGGTAGCTCAGACACTCCTGTACTGGGAGCCGGAAAACCTAGGGGTGGCAGGGCCATGGGGACACGGCTCAGCCCCTGGGCTCCTGGGACTACCAACCTGTCCCCACCTTCACCTCTGGGCCTGGAAAGCCCAGCTCGAACCCAGGTTGTAGGTGTTAGGAGCAGTTGCAGACTAGGCTCCAGATGACCCTGGCTGGTGGCCCTGTGGTCCAGGATCCAGATGGGACAGGTCTTGGCTACACTGCTTCCCTAAGCTCAGGTCCTCTGAACCTCCTCCCTCTGGGGGGCACCTGAGCATCTGGGGAACTCCCAGGGCTGGCTTAAGGGGCTCCTTGTCTCCCTCCAAACCTCAGACACTGAACCAGGTCCCCTCTGCTAAGATGGGGTGGGGAAGGACCAGAGAGGAGTTGCAGTTGAGGCGCAGGACAGACGGCCACAGTGACAGGGATTGGATTAATGGTGTCTTGGGCTGCAGCACTGTCTGGGACACAACCCGGCTGCCCTGTGTCCAAGAACCCAAGCAGAGGCACCCTAGGCCTGTCACAGTGGCCTGGGCCCCACAGCCTCCTGGGGCTGCCCCTAGGCTGACCTTGTCCTGGGTCATGGCATATAGACTGGACAGATCTCCAGACAGCACCAGGTCCTGCTTGATCCTCTTGTTGATCTCCACGAGGATGGAGCTGTACTCCTCTGAGGTGCCATCAGGGGCCAGGTACACCTGGGCACGAGGGCAGCCGTGAGGGTCAGGCCCTTGCCCACAGACAGCCTGACAGAACCTTCCTTGCTGGGCCCAGGGCCTCACCTTGAGGATCCGGCCGTCAGAAGTGCCCAGGAAAGCAACAGTATGGCCATTCTCAGCGGTCACCGTCACAGCTGTCAGATTGAGGCCTCCACGCTGCAGCACAGCCGTGGCCGTGAGTCCATCACGGCTGCCCAGGGGATACGGCAGGTGCTCTGAACCACACGGGAAGCTCTTGCTGGCGCCCTGCAGACAGAGTGTCATCAGCAGGCGTCGGCCCTCCTGCCCCTAAGGACATTCTCCACTGGAGATCCAAGCTAACCTTCCGCCTGTGTCCTAGGCTCACTGCACATGTGGCACCAGGGTGCTACACGGACACACCGCGTCATGCCGACCCGAACCCCAGCTACAATGCACTCACACCGCTTCCAAGCAGGAGGGGATGTGGAAATCCCTGAAGATACCAAAGAAACGCACCTGCAAGTGGCCCCCACACTGGATGTCGCCGTGGAAGGGCTTGTAGAAGGTGTCCCGGCTCGCCTCCCGGGCGCCCGTGTAGCAGGCGTTGCGGCTGGCCTCCATCTTGACATGGACTTTCTCCAGCGGGAATAGGCAGAGGCCCGCCCCAAGCCCCCCACTGCTCCGGCCGTCCCTACTGAAGACAGCGTAGAGGACCCTGCCGGTGGCACCTGGTGTGGCTACAGAGGCTGCCAGGCAGGCCCCGAAGGCAGGGCCCTGGGGGTCGCTGGGGTCCCTGCACTGCAGGTCCATCTCCACGTAGGAGTAGTAGGAGGGGTCATCTTTGCACATGCGTGCCAGGAGTGTTCGGTTTCGGGCTGGGTGCTTGTCCTGCTGGTTGAAGACAAAGAAGACATATGGGCCGTCCTCAAAGGCCGCCACGAACTGCTGTGTGTTGGTGGACAGGTAGCCAGCCTTGAAGGTGGTGTGGTCTGAGTAAGCTTCGAAGGCTTCCCTGCCCTCGGCCCGGTCCAGTAGGCGGGTGCTCACGATGATGCCATTGTCGTGCGGCCCGTTGCCTTTGCCCACAAACAGCACCCGTTCCCCATCAGGGCCTGTAGAGCTGACCAGTCCCACAGTGGCCACACTCTCGTCGTTGCTGGCCACAAAGGACTTCTCGCCGCTGCCGTCCTCGTAGAAGAGAAGCATGGAGATGTTGCTTAGGGCACGCAGGGCACAGATGCCCTTGAAGAGGCTGCCACACTCCACCAGGCGCTTCCCGGGCAGGTCCAGCAGCAGCAGCTGGTTGGCATTGTCAGTGGGCACTGCCTCGTGGCACTGGCTGGCCTCGATGGGCGGTGTGCACTTCTTGTTGTCCAGGGCGGGGCCTGTGACGGCCTGCTGCTGGAGGTGCAGGTCTGCACTCAGCTGGAAGAGCATGTTCACTGCCCCCACGTATACCACACCTGAGGCCTCGTCCACCACCAGGTGGTTCAGCTCCATCTCGCTGCAGAAGACGTTCAGCTTGCGGGGCCGCAGGCCCACACTCGGGCCCACCAGCCCCAGGAAGGTCAGGGCCCACAGTGGCAGTGCCATCTCCCAGGGTCCCTGTGGGGAGAGAGAAGGGTCAGAGAAGCCTCGGATCCTTCCCCCTCCTTCCTGCCCCCAAAGAAGCTGAAGGAAATCATTTCCCAGCCTTCTCAGGAAACTCTGCCATAGTCTAATCTACAAGTGGGGCTAAGGCCTGGCCACTGCACACAGGAGTCGGGTCCTGGCCTCCACCTCCCAGCACTCAGCATCCTGCAGGCTGGTCCCCAAAGCCATGCCCCCCGGAACATTCACACACATGCCTCTACCCCAGGAAACTACAGATGGTCACAGGGCATGGGCCCCAGGCTGACTGACAGACCCTGACACGTGAGCAGGTGGACCACACCCCGCTCTCCACATGAAGCAGCTAAAAGTGAACTGGGCTGCTGTGCCTGTTCAGCTGCCCCACGCGCCCACCAGGCCTTCTGACCCAGCCTGGCCCACCTCCCTGGGGCCACCCAGGAAAGTTACTGATCTGCCTCTGACCATTGCACACCCGCCCCTAGGCACCACAGCCGGTGTCGGTCCTCAGGAGAGCAGGAAGGTGTCTGATCTGGTCATGGCCTGGAGGCCCCGGGTGCAACTGGGCGGACTGGAATGCGGTGGTTTGTTCCCACAGACCCTTCCTCTCTTCTATCAAGCCTTTGCTCAGGTCTCCAGGGTTAGGGCCAGGCCACAGGCAGCCCAGGCCATAACCCTTCTGTTTCCATTCTGCATCTCTCTGTTCCAATTGGCCATAAGCCTTCTCAAACCTCCTGAGAAAGTAACCAAATGAAGAAGAAGCAACCCCCTACTGACAGAGTCCCCCCACCCCAGGATCACAGGGGGGTGGGGGAGAGAGAGCTGACCTTGGCCAGCTTCCCATCCCAGAAGAGGTCTCCTGGCCAGGCAGCTCCTRTCTCTCACAGAACCCTGACCCTGCACCCAGGGTCCCCAAACATCTATATAAGCCCAGAGGCCTCGAGAAATGGGGATCACCAGCAGCCACTGAAGATTCCCTGGAGGACATCCAGAGGTGGGCCGGCCAGGCTGCTTGGAGATGGCAGAGGACAGGTGAGGGTGCTCCACAGCAGCTGTGGAGGGAGCAGGGGGACCCAGGCGTCACCAAGATGGGAGTGGTCAGGGTGGAAAAGGTGCCGCTTAGTCAGGACCCCAGGGCAGGAAAAGGGTTCCAATGCAGGCAGGGCCCGGGTCTAGGGGCCTCTCTGGCCTGGCTGCTGGTCCAGAGAGAGAGGGAAAAGCAGGAGAGGACTGCCACAACCCCAGGCCTCCATGGCCAGCCAGCACCTCGCTGTGCCAGGAAAGGCGCACAGCGCTGGGCAGTACTCCTCAACCCCAGGGGCCAGGGGCCAGAGGCTCAAGTGCTGGCTGCTCCTGCTCCCGGGCTGGGGCCAGGCCAGAGGCAGCCCAGCCTGGAATGAATGGAATGCTGGGGGGAGGCACAGTGAGCCACCCCACAGGGATGCAGCCTAGACCCTGTCAGTGCAAAGTGAGGGCTTCAACCTGGAGCTGACTCAGTGGGGGCCGCCAAGGGTCAGGAAAGTTCCTGCCCTGGCCCCACTCTGCCAGCACTCTGGGCACTGGTGGAGGGGTCCCTCCCTGACCTGCTGACTCACAAGAGCCCAGGGCAATAGAGGTGGCTCTTGCCCTCTAGTTAACACCAACCTGGGCTGGCATACCTGGGGGGCCCAATGAAGCCCAGTAGATCCTGATGCTGTAGCCCCAGCCCTGATACCCTGTGGCTGCCTGGCATACTGCCTGGAGGCCAGGATCTGCCCCAGCACCCCTGGAGACAGTGGGCGGAGCACAGCTCAAACCTCAGGCCTTATAGGGTGGTAGGAGGGGCTGGGATCACACTCCCCAGCTCTTCTACTTCCTGGACAAACAAGACCTCAGGCGACCTGTCCCGCCGGCCCAGGAGCAAAGGGCGCCCACCTGACCACTACAGAGCTGAGGCCACAGGCGGCGCCAGGCACAGCTGGCTGGCTTCCTGCTGCTGGTTCCTGGAATGAGGGGGCGGCAGCGGACGCTTCCTGTTTTGAACTCAGTCTGGGACCCCCACTTACAGGGCTGGTGGGGATTTCCCCAGCGGCACCAGCCTTCTTCCCAACTGAAGTTCAGAGGTGCACTTCCAAGAAGCCACTTAAATTCCAGGCTACTGCAGGCTGGGAAGTGTCTGGGCAGGCACCCCACTCCCAGCCCAAACTTTCAGGCCTCTGTTCCCAGAACCYGGTGCCCAGTCCCCCTGGGCAAGACATGAGCAAGACCTGGGGAACTCAGGGAAGCACTCTCTCCCAGGATCAACTGAGCCTAAACACTGCACCCCTGCCCTCTGAGCTCCTGTCTCTAGGTCCGACCATTGATCTACCCAACCAGGACAGGCTGTGGGGAGGGCTAGAGAGATGTGCCCAGACAGCATCAGGACACCTGCAGGGCTGGGTCCCAGCACTCTAGCCAGTCTGCACAGCCCCAGCCACCCACTCACCGAGGCTCAGGGGCTCCAGATCAGTCTCCACTCCAGGCAGGCATCGAGACTCTAGGAGGAAAGGAGAGAGTCACACTGGGAGGCTGGCTCACCCCAACCCATCTCTGCTCCCTAGGGCGGGGGGAGGAAGAGACAGGACCTCATCCTGGCACCACCCCTCCCTCAGACACCTCTACATTCACTTGGTCTTTCCAGAACCTGGCTTGGCTGTGCCCTTTTCTCTGCTCACAGGCAGGGGCAGTCAGCCTTTTTAAACTAGGTATGTATTATTACTTTGATTCCAACATCTATTTTCTGAAAAACATGCATATCCATGAACTCACATTTCTACTTACTAGCTGTGTAATCTTGGGCAAGTTACTTCTCTGTGCCTCATCTCCCCATCTGTGAAATGGAGACAGTAACAGTGAGCTACCCCAGGAGTTTATAAGGTCTAAATGAATTCATTCATGAAAAGTCCCTGAGATGTCACACTGTAGCCCCTCGGAAACACCGGCTATTGTTTCCTCTCAGTCTGGATGTATAGCTACTTACTGTCTGTCGGGAGGCCTAGCACAACACCTCGCAGTATGGCTGGCTTGCTGTAGGGAAAAACCAGTAACCCCATATCCCACCAGAGACCAGAGGCACCCTGGAAAACTKCGTGGCAAATGAAGGTGGTGGTCTGTGCTGACCCAGCAGAGCCCAGACCTGTCCTGGAGGGAAGGCTGTGGAACAGGGTTCCACCCACCTGTCTTCACCAGTGTGAAGTGCTGGGAAGATKTAGAAGCCCTTATCCAACTTGAAAACAGTGGGAAATCTTGGGGTAAGGGAGGAGGGGGCTAGGACAGCAAGTAACTTTGTCATTTTTTGGAAAAGAAAAAATAAGACCATATTTAAACATGACTTGTCTAAATAAAAAGAGAGACACCTGATAATCACCCAAGGTGATTCCTCAGCCTCCCCCTGCCCCCAAGCTTCCCCTGACGGCAGACCTCAAGCTCTCTACAGGGGTCTGTTACAGATAAGGTCAAGGGAGGCTGGCCTCTCCCCAGGGAATACTCTCAGAAGGGTCTGACCCAAGGAACACACTGACCAGGCAGGCCCACCACACAGCAGTCTCCCTAGGCAATGAATTCAGGATCCCTTCAGCCCTCTAGGGCACTGAGCCCTCTGGGGCCCTGGACAGCCAGACTCAGKCTTGCAACTCCCCCCTGCCACCCTGCCCCAAGCACCAGACTGCACCTTCTCTCAGGATGTCCTGCCCATAGCCCAGATGAACACTTTCCTAGGTGCTCCCAGGCCAGGCCAGCAGGCCAGAGCCCCAGCTCCAGGGCCTCGCCCAGGAGGCTGCGGTCCCACCCCAAGGGCCAGCTCTGCAGCCAGGACATGGGGTCCCACACAGCTCGACCATTTTCCAGCTGGATTATGTGGACTACTTACAAAGCTGCTCTGGGCCTTAGTGTCCCCAGGTGTTTGCTGGGGCTAATAACAGCTTCCACCTCCAAGGGCTGCAAAACTCCTACCCATCCTTCAGAACCCTGAGATGCCCTCCCAGATGGGCCATCCTCTACGGTCTTCACTGGGGGGCCCTATGGGTGGGTGTAAAGCAAAGGGGAATGACAGCACTCGGATCCCCTACTCCAGCCCCCAGAGCACCTTGGCCTCTCTGAAGCCCTGGCTGTGCGGGACCAGCTAGAGCCCCTGACTGCGTACCTGGGACGCCATGGCTTTCTTCCCAGGTCCCTCTCTGTCCTCCAGGCCCCACACACAGGCTAGCTCTATCCACCCCTAACCCCAGGGGAAGGAGAGCAAGAGGGACCTGAAGAAGAGCCGTCTCCTTCAGAGAGGCCCCAGGGCTGGGGTGCTCTGTCCTGCCCCCTCCCCAGTCCTGCTGGGCAGGGCTAGTGTGAGTACCCCAGGGCTGGGGTGATCTGTCCTGCCCCCTCCCCAGTCCTGCGGGCAGGGCTAGTTTGAGTACCCCAGGTTCCAGGACTCAGCCTACCCACGGGGCTCTAGAGTGGGGTAGAGTGTGGGGGGGGATCTTTCCATGTCAGCATCTTTTTTTTTCTTCTTAGTTGTAAATGGGCACAATACCTTTATTTTGTTTATTTTTATGTGGTGCTGAGGATCAAACCAGTGCCTCACATATGCTGAGCCAGCGCTCTGCCACTGAGCTACACAGCCCTATCCCTGATGTTAGCATCTTCAAACAAACTTAAATTGAGCACCCCCGCCCCCCAGTACTGGGATTTATACCCAGGGGTGCTCTACCTCTGAGCCTGTACCCCTCCACACACCCTTATTTTTTTATTGTGAAATGGGATCTGGCAGAGCTGCCCGGGCTGTTCTGGAACTTGTGATCCTCCTGCCTGCGCTTCCCCATTAGTTGGGGTGACAGGCACGCACAACAGTACCCCTGTCAGATTGAGCAATTTCTTAACACTAAAATAAAATCAGTGCGAAGCTGTCAAGCCCAGCAGGAGGAGGGCCCCTCTTGGCCAAACCAGCAGGCTGTGGGTTCAGGAAGGGAAGCCAGGCAAGGTCGGAGACCGACAGAGGCTCAGACACAGGCCTAAGTGCACAAAGGGCAGACTCCTCCCGCAGTCCAGGCTCAGACCCAGGTGGAGACAGGTACCACCCCCCAGCGGCCTTAAGCCCGGTGGGGGAGGGCCTTAAGCCCTGTGGTGGACCAGAGGTTGGTGGATCAGTGACCTCAGGCCAGGCGCTGGGGGACCGCTAGGGGACCGGATGGGGGGCTCTAACCGGAGGCAGGTCCGGCCGCGCCGCCTCCCTCCCCTCCCCCGCCGGCAGCTGGCTGCCGGGAGGCGTGACTCCGCTTCTGCGACGACAACGCAAATCTGCAATTAGCCGGGAGCGTTAAACAAATCAGAAGAAACAAAACAGGCCGCGGAGCCGCCAAATCCGAGCCTCCGCTGTTTTCAAAACAAGCCCGAGGGAGGGGCCGGCGGCGGGGTCTGCGAGGAGCCCGGCAGCTGGTCCCGGAGGATCAGCCGGACGCAGCGCCGCGGCCCTCGGACCGGCCCCTGGGAAGGCACAGGACACCCACGAGGCCGGCCGGTGACCGCGCGCCCAGCCCCACCCACCGGCGACCCGGTCAGAGTGCGGCCCGTCCCAGACGGCCCCAGGTGGCAGGACCGCTCCCCCGGCGCCGCCGGCGCCGCCAGACTCTCCGAGGAACGCGGCAGGTTACCGGGGAACCACGCAGAGGTGGCCCCGCCGGGCGGGCRAGGACGCGCGGCGGGCGGCGACGGCTCCTACGGGCGCTCCGGATCCCCCGCCCGCGCCCTCCGGGTGTTTCCCCGCTCCTCAGGGCCCACCTGGGAACACACGTGGACCCCTGCTCTCAGCGTGAGCTTCATCAGGCCCGGGGACCCCACGGAGCCATAGACACGACAGCGATGGAAACGGTTACGTGGCCCTGCTAGACGTCCCATGGGGCGCTTACCTGGCGTCAGGCACAGCTGAGCGCAGAACCGGCTAGTACCTACCCAAGTCCGCCCCGGCCTGAGAAGGGGCCCCCTCGCAGTGGACGGTTCCGCCCACTGCTGGTGGCTCCGCCCCTGCCCAGGGTTGATCCCTGGGCTCCTTCCCCAACTCAGCTGTCAGCCAACCACGCAGGACACCCCTCCCAGCAGCCTCCTGTAGGACCCCGAACCTGGGGCTGGCGTCGTGTGACAGTCTCCCCAGGTGAAGACCGAACTCTTCCGGGCAACCTGACCTAGGAGCAGGGTGGGGCTCCAGGGACAGACTGACGTCCTAGCCTGAGTCTTGCGTCAGCGACCAGAGCCTCCCACAGGACTCAGGGCAAGGTCCCCTCCCAGGTGGAGGGTGCCTACCTCTTTCCCACCAGACCAGGCTATTGGTTCTCGCTTCCACCTACCTCCACAAGTCTGGGCTATATGTCCAGCTAGAAAAGGCACACCTGGCTTCCTCAAAAGGCTTTCCTTCGGGGTGAGTCAGCCTGAGTTCCAGCTTGTCCACTTCCCATGCTCCCTACCCTGGGATGCATCCAGGCCACCTCAATCTCTGTCTGAGGCCTAAGGTCATCTAGTGCCCACGGTCTTGCATCAAGCCCCTGGTCCTTAGTGCCCAAGGTTCACCTGGAAAAACCAAGATGCCTGCCCTAGTCCCCTTTCCATGCCAAACTGCAGCCTCTGAACACTGTGGGGGTCCTTAGACATGGTCTTCAAGCTACCAGCCATTGAGCTCCCCACGCCCACCACTTCTGAAACAATGGTGGGTGGCCTCCTCAGCCTCCCTTCCTCCCCCTGGGCCACAACCCACCTGCTCCACCAGAAGCGCAGGTCCTCTCAGGCCCTGGGAGCAAAAGGTGGCCCCTTGCCCCTATATACCAGGCCTGCAGAACCACTTCCTTCCCGCTAACAGCCACTTTTTGTGCTCCAGCTACCACACCTTTCTCCCCACTTCTGTCCCTACCACACCGCAGACCTTCAAACTTAGCTCCCCACAGCATATCACCCTTCATCGACTTGTGGTGCTCCCAGAGGACCCCAAACTCAGCCAGCTCAGAGGACACAATGGGTCCTGTCACTCAAGCCAGCAAAAAGCTGGCTAGCTGGTTCAGCAAATCAAGAGTGCAGATAGCAGTCTGGCCACAAAAGAAGGGCTCTTTTGGGACCCAGAGGACCCTGAGCTGCTGGCTGTTTGTCTTCCTACCCCTCTTGTGTGCCCCCACCTCATCTCCCCTTTCCCAGGCTCACCCCCAGCGGTGGGTGGTGAGAGATTAGGTCCTGGCTGGATAAGCTCATGCAGGATGCAGCTGGCCCAGAACCAGCTCTGCCTAGAGCCCCCCTCCAGGGACATGGTGAGCAGGAGGTGGGGAAATATGGGGGCGGACGGGTGAGGGCCCCAGTGAACGGGAGGAACCAGCAAGGCCTGTAATCTCCCTGTCAGCCTGTCAGCACAGCGCCTCGGCGGTCACCCCAGCCCCGCCTCCCCATCACAGCAGAACCCTACAATTAGCTTGGGGCACCTCGCCAAACCTGGGTGCCAGCTACCACTCACATGTGACCACACATGTGCAGGCACACATGTCTGTGGCTGATGGAAGCACCTTGCCAAAAGGGGTCTTGCATCAGTACCCAGATTTGTCCCCAGGAAAAGAAGCTGGAGGGAGACACCCACACCCAGTACTTGGGATCTCCCCAGGTCCCAGCACAGTCAGTCCAGGGCTGTGAGGCTCTCAGAGGTGGACAGGTAGGAGCTGGCCTCCAGGGAGGGGCGGTGTGGGAAAGGTGGGCAGGCCATGTCAGCCAAGGGAATGGGCTACCTGATGAGTCTCCTGTCCAGCCTGGGCTAGGGGGCTGGCAGGCACAGGGTGCTACTAGGAGTGCTGGG